CTTCTAATTTTACAGGAATGAATCCATTAAAAATTGGTCAGCCAGATGTCGATGAACCTATACCCAATGCTGATGATGAAACAACCATGATTCACCAAGAATTTCTACTGGACCCAAGTCTAACGGTTCAACAGGTTCTGCTAGGTGCTCATACAGAGATCGTCGATTTTGCGCGATTCGAGATGGGAGAGAGTGCTGAACCGGAGTCTGAGGTGCCATTAGAGGACGCAGAACCGATAAAAAGTTGTGGTTAAACCCCAATTAATCCTCATTAAAAGCTATCAAAATCATTTAAACTTTACCCAGAACTATTCATGATAGACTTTACTCTGTCTCCTCAAAAAATATGTACATAAAAGTTTCGTTTACTATAAAATTTGATGATAGTATACCAAAAATAAATCTAAAGAAAAAAAGCGATGGGATAGAAAATGATTTCATGTTTTGTTAAGACTGGAATCGATGGAAGCGAATTTGACGAGTGACTTGGACTTCAATTTTCGTTTCCTTGCGAGCCTAACGGACTTCCATAGCCAAGTTCTCGAATCTTTTTTCCAAAATGGCGCCAGATCTTGCGGGAAATGTCTAATTCCCTGATGATTCAGCACTTCCGGCCCCTGAACTACTAGTCTCAGAGTAGAAATTTCTCGTGTCTTGAAGGCAATTGTTCTGCATTCTTGCATAGCGCAATCATCGCAGTGACACGTCTGAGTTTCCTGTGACTTACCATTGGGTCCCATGTCCTCACTTGAATTCTCTTGTTCTAATCCAAGCTTCTCGAATGCCACTGAGAAGTGACAGTGATCCTTACCATCACTATTCGATTCCAAATAGGAGATTCGATCCTGAAGACTCACGTCACTGTAAGACTTTATGCGGAGATTTTGAATCCATAAATCCTCTACTGCAAAATTAATTGACATTTATCAATTTACATATCTCCATAAATCTGTAAGAAAACAATTCATCTCTGAATAGCAAATGATTTCTTGGTACTCATTCTATTCTTTCTGTATGATTAAAATTTCTATGTAAATAAAGAAGAAAAAAAATGAATGGAAAGTCAAATGAAATAAGAAAATTGACTAGACCATAAAAATGATAAACGCTCTTTAAAAAACTATAAACCATAATAAAACCACCAACAACTAGTCTTTGATTGACTTCATCCAAGTGATTTTTTCAACTAGAACCAAGAAATCAATTCTGTTGTTCTAAAAGGGCTGACTAAAAATACCACTCGAGTAATCTCCCTCTTCTTTCCTCAAATCCATCAGACGTTCATTGTCTCGGCCTCCACAGGAAGAAACGTTCTCTCAAAAAGGAAAAAAAAATCAGAAAAAAAAAACCAATCTGTCAAGATCTTCCTTCACAAAACTAATCTTCCTTTGTTTCTAACACCTTTCAATTTCCTTCCGGCCAAAAACTCCACTCAAATGATATACGATCGTTCTCGGATGCCCTAAAACTGCCGTACCCTTTCACCTGAATAGAAGAGAGCGAGAGAGAAATGATTCCCATTCTTCATTCATAGATTTAATGATTCCGAGAGAACGGTAAATCGTAACGTAGAATTTAATCATTATTGCGTTCCATTTCTCAGCTCAGAGAGAGAATACTCTTGCTATTCTCTCCGCACAGTTGAGGGCTGGTGGATAGTATTTCACGTCAGAAATTGTACGACAGGTGCGTTAGATAACGACTTTGAAGGTGAGTGTGTGAAGAGGTAAAAGAGTGCCGCATGGACGACTGTATGTATTCATGAGGTGCCTGTTGGTCACGGGTGGCCGCTTGGAGTTCCGGGGACCCGCTTCCGGAGTACTATGGTTTCTTTCTTTTTTTCTTTTTTTTTTTCAAAAATATACGCTGAATAATACGGTTTAAGTGTCAGTCGTACGTGAACAGTTAGCGGAGTTTCATCTCGCGAGGGTGACTAACTCAGTTTTTACGTTTTACTCATTAAAATTCGCTATGGGATTTTCTAAACGGGTGAGTTACTTTCCATTACTATCGTTTATGATTAATTGGAGAATTTTATTAGACAGTTTATGTGAGTCATCGACACGAGTTTTCATTTCTCATTTTTAGCGATTGATTCGCGATTTTATCGCTTCCGATAAAATTATTTTAAAAATATAAATCTCTCTAGATTCATCTTCTCTTCCCTATTTTTCGGGTGTTCCGACAAATTGGGGATTGTGCGTGCGAGCTTTATGAATTAAATAATAAATCAATTAAATATTTGTTAAATTACAATTAATTAAGTTATAAAAATTGCATTTTTGCAAAGATTGCTTTCTGTGGAACGATAAAAAGCAAACAAATAAAACAAATTGTTTAATTCGTTCCAATTTCTGATTCCCCACTGAATTCCCTACTTTGTAATTAATTGTTTAACATAATCTCGAGTTTGTAAAAGCGTGGCGATGATTTATTAAGAGAAACACAAAGGCGCAGAGGGATTTTTGCTCCAGTACACAAGTGTTGCGACCGTATAAGCACACACTGAAATTTTCGTATTTTCCAATCCTATCACGCGATACAACACTAATCTTTCGCGGGGTCTAGTGTTCCATTTGAAAACTGCAGGAGTCATACGCTGATCGATATCGTTGTTTAACAATAGTAAACCTCGTTTCTTATATTTTTTATTCCCTCGGTGTTTTGAAAACAGAAGTGTTTAACGTTCAACTATTGAGTGGTAGTCGAGAATTATTTCGATATCGAAGTCGTAAGAAGAAAATGTTCGCTGATAGTGGACGATTTTATCGACAGGATGACAGAAGCTGCGGCTCCGATGATTCAGGGAGTGATGTCTTCAGGAGTGTTCCGAAAAATAGAACTGCCTTCCTCATATGGAAAATTGAGGTACACAATATTTTTTAAAATTCCTCTCTCCGTCAATGCGTTGCAATAATTTTTTTTTCGAATATGTAGAAGAACTCTCCGGTGTTTTCTGCTCGTTGAAAAAAACCGTAAATCATCACCAATGGCTTGGCTTCAAGTCAATCCATAAATTTTCATATTTTTAGTTATCTATGGAAATTCATAAACGATTGCACTGCTAGTTGAACATTTAAATTGTATTTTACATGGTGATGTGAATTTTTATTGGATTGATAAACTAAATTAACTGGGAGTAGACAAT